ACCACAAGAACAGAGTGAAGGGTGAGTGTAGGAGAAAGGACAATAGTGCCTTGTCCAGTAACAGGGGAAGAGCCACCATTAGCAGTGGTGATATGGGTATTAGAACATGGATGGCAGTGAGTGAGGGAAGATGCATCACAAATCATATGGTCAGACGCTCCAGTATCAATTTTCCATGTTGAATTCCGAGTGTGAGCAGAAAAAGTAAGAGGGTTGCCTAAGATGCCTTCATAAACAATATTAGCACGAGGAGTGGAAGTGGTGTCACCAGCAGAAGAGGATTGCAAGGCTTTGGATGTCAATTTCCGGCGAGGACGCTTGTTGAAATCCAACCATTCCGGGTAGCCTACGAGTTCATAGCAACAGGACTTTGAATGTCCCGATTCTCCATAGTGAGAGCAGATGAACGATTTTCCAGGGGGACCATCTCTGTTGGAAGGACCATCTTTGTGCGGTTTGAGCAGGAAAGGAACAGAGGGAGGGCGAGAAGCTTGCGATAAAAAAATAGAGGATTCTGAAGATTGAGGACGACTCATGGTGATTCGGTGCTGGTGTTCGCGTCGAACATATGCATAAGTGCTTTCAAGATCCAATTTTGGATCTTTCCGAAGGATTTCGCCACGAACTTGGTCGAAATCAGAATCCAATCCAGCAAGGAAGAGGTGGACACGCATGCGAGCCAGGGAGGAGTGGCCTTGCACCACATCAATCACGGTAGAAGCAGGAGAGGACATCCGATGGTCAATTTCTTGGAAGATTGAAAGAAGTTCGTTGTAGTAGACAAAGAGGGGGCGACCATTTTGCTTGATGGAGAAGGAGCGTTGGTTGAGATCGAAGAGACATGTTTTGTCAGTCCCATCATAGAAGGTTCGTCGGGCCGCTTCCCAGATTTCGTGGGCGGTATCCAAACGGATGAACCGCTGCATTAGTGGAGGAGTCATGACGTCGATGAGCCAGCTCTTCACTCTCTTATTGTCAGTCACCCAGGCATCATGAGCAGGATCACCAGGTGGAGGCTTTGGTATCGTCCCATCAAGGTAACCAGCTTTGTTTCTTGCCTCTATTCTCATATCCATTAACTGAGACCAGAGGGGAAAGTTTGAATCATCGAGGACGACAGTGATTGGGAAGGAAGAGGTTTCTTGTTGGATTACAATATTGGAGGATGGGGAAACAGAAGAAGGCATGGTGGTGTGAGGAGTGGATGAATCGTTGTTTTCATTTGTGGTATCCATAGAAGAGGGGACAGAAGAAATTAGGGATTTGAAGTTTCTGGAAGGAATTCGGTTTGGGTTGAAAAAAAGAAAAAAAATAAAGTGAGAAAGAGAGAATATTCGGGTCAGATAGGTGTGGGAATAGGGTAAAAAATTTCCTAGGATCAGAACACCGTTGATACCATGTTGAAATTGAATACTGTAACTACGTTTTTAATGTAAATACGTTTTTTTCTTCATTTACTTCCTCTTCAATGAGGTTTATATATACAAGTGGGTATAACAATATACCATAACAGTATGAAACAAACTAACAAATTCATCCTAAAGATATTAACAATCAGATTACATTCTAGAAACTAATATAACAATATTTTGAATTTAAAAACTTCCTTTCAACAAAAAGTTACGGTGAGTTTCAAAAGCTCAGAAGATACACATACAAAATCCAAACCCAAACATACAGTAATGCACTACACTAAACCATTGAGAATAGGCGCTCGTTTTTTAAGAGAAAACAAAACAAGGCACGAGTGTTCTTGAATAAAATCTGATTCTAAATCCAAATTAAAGAATAAGAAGATAACAAGCGTCTTTTATTTTATTTGTTGGATAAATCGATGTGGAACAAGTTAAAATCAAAGTTGTTACTGTGAATCGATATCAAAAGCACACAATGGTTGAAGAGAGGACAAGAGAGGTGATTTTCAAACTTAGATAGAGATAGAAAGGGTATGGAAACCTAGAGAGAGAAAGACAAAGAGGAAATATGAGAGAAAAATAAAAGATTATAAGGGATAATTATGGGCCGTTAGATTTAATTATAATCTAACGGTGATGAGATTGGTTGTAAATGTGATAAACTCAAGTATAACCGTCCCCTTTCTTTTTTATGTAATCAGTCTAAAATTAACTTGATGTTTGTCTCTGAATTTATTATGGACTAAAAAAAAAAATATATATAACTTGTCATTGAAAATGATCAACTGAATCAACTCTTATTGACTTCTATTTTTCTTTTTTACTTTTGGTCGCACAAATTTATTTATATCTACTTACATTCTAAAGAATCACTCTTGCATTTTTTTGCAAATTAAATTCTTGAGGACAATAGTAACTGTATCATGACAGAAAAATGATGACTTTGTTTATATTATTTGTAAATGATTTATTTGTTATAAATTCATTATGTTACAAAAACAAAGTAACATTTCAACTTTATATTGCGTAAAAAATTCATTACTATATAAATCTTAAAAAAATTTCTTTATAAATGTACCATAAAATATTATTCAATACGCAATTACTGGATAAAAAATGAAGTATTTGTGAAATATATTTATCATGATATATTATGCATGTTATGCCAACTGTCCCCTCTTACGATCAAAGTGATTGAAGAATGTTAGAAAAAAAAAAGTATGGTTGATATTATTTTATGAGATATGATATTATTACTATCAAATAATATTATTATCAATGTTATTATTATATTTTAATCATTAATTTTTGCCAATCAACGGTTATTATTTATTGTGAATTAATAATTAATTAATTAATTTGATTTATGAAAATAATAATCATTAATTAACGAAAATAAAATATAATAATAACATTGATAATAACATTATTTGATAGTAACAATGTGATTTTATTTCTTCTAGGGTTACAAAGTAAAATGGAACGGTATCAAATTTTCTTGGTTGATAATTTGATTTGTTGTGTTTGAGGGTACCATATGGCCCAGAAATCATTGCCCCAATATATGGCGCATGAAATGTGTTTTATTTTTCCGCCGACAATTATCACAGATCAAAGTGACCAATGAAACCAACGTCATGGGACATTGGGACGGAACAGTGGCCAAAGTGTCACTGTTCTACAACTTATTTTTCTAAATGTTATGTTAACAGTGCAATTTTTTAATATGCCACGCGGACAAGTTCGCTACAGTACTCAGCGAATTTGGTAGCCAATGATTTCGTTACACGTAACACATTTTGACAGGAAAAGTTGTCTGCCATGTGTCCAAGTTCGCTACGACTGGCAGAGAACTTGATAACCAATGATTTCGTGACACGTGACATACTTTTGCAGGAAAAGCTGACTGGGCGAAGTTCGCTACCAGGTAGCGAACTTGGTGTGCTAGGTGGCACAATCTTATTGCCCGATCAGAATTAATGTTCCAATCACAATAAAAAAGAAGAAAAAAAGAAAAAAAACAATTAATTATAATTAATGTATTAATCACAATTAATGTACCAATCACCATTCACAATTAATTTTGATCACAATTAATTTTGATCACAATTAATGTATCAATCACCAATCACAATTAATGTATCAATCATAATTAATTTTGATCGGTACATTAATTGTTTGTGATATCATTGTTACAAATTCGAACGATGTTTGCGAGAGATAAAATATGTCAAATGAGCTGTCATTGGGTAGATCTCGAAAAGTTATATAAAATAAAATAAAAAATATCTGATTTGGATATCCGAATCAAAAGTTATGGCCCTCCGAAGTGATTGGTGGTTGGTACAGTAATTATGATTGATACAATCAAAAGTTAATCATATTTGTATGCTAATTATGATTGACACATTAATTGTGATTGCTAATTGGCAAATTAATTTTGACTGGCACATTAATTTTGTGATTATTATAATTTTGCTTAGTCCAATATAGTGTAGTTATGTAGACAGTGAGATATGGGGTATTATTTTAATTATTAGTGATATGTGATTAGAGGAATTATGGTTGTGGTTGATATCTCTTGCTCTTTGTCTATTTAAACTCTTATTCTATGGAATGAAATTATTAGAGAAAAAGAAATATTTTGTGCACTTATTTATCTGCTTGAAATAGAATTTTTTAATTTGAATTCAAATTCTTTAAAATAGCTGTACGTAACATAGAATTTCAAATATTGATTGATGTAAAAAAAATAAAAATATAAGAAAATAACGCTTATCAGAAAATATTTCATCATCCTATAAAATCAATAAATATTTCAATATTTACTATCATAGTCATGAGTGATTCCCTAATTAATCCTAATTGCGTTATTTATACTATCTTTTAGAATAAAATCTCTATATGTACACGTTGAATACAATTTCCGTACAACGAAATACCTATTCCCTTTCAAAAAAAAGGAAAAAAATAAATATTTGTGGCAATGATAATAAAAATAAGAATAATATAAATAGGTTGTTTTTTTATCATCTATAATAAAAAATATATCCAACACTTAATACTACATATTTTGACTAACAAACAAAAAAATATTTTCGTACACACCCCCCGTTACATTAACGGCGACATCATCATCAACCACCACAGAAGATAATCAGCGTTCAAATATCTCTACTAACATAATATTCCTGTAAATATAATAGACCACGCCGAATTTTAGGTACCAATGGCATTATGAGAAGGAGAAATTAAATGAATTAAATGAAAACGGTATTTTCTCTTATTGAAAAAGAAAATATACTGAATTGAGTAACGAGTACAGCCGATGTACAGTAAGATAATTTCCCTCATCTTCGCGCCTCATAATGTTCCCTACGCGTTGTTGGCATTTACCAGTTTCTCTCTCTCTCTAACTTCTCTTATATATAGTCCCATTCTCCATTCTTCGAAGCAGCAACAGTAACATTATTGTCATTAGATTTTCCCAACTTTTCATCATACACTAAACAAAACAAAAGCTCCATTCCATTCTCCGCCGGAAATATCGCCGCCGCTACGGTGAAGAGGAAGAGAAAAAAAGAAATGACGCTGCTTACTCTCTGGGAGCAATGGTTTAATGCAAAGAAAAAGAAATCCGAAGAAGAAGATAAAGACAGCGAGATAGGAGTGGTCGCGCCTTCGCGTCGCCGGCCACCGCGGACCCGGCGAGTGTCGCCCGTCGCGGTGGAGAAACAGCTCCCGAACGGAGACATCTACATCGGAAGCTCGTTGGGGAAAGAGCCTCACGGCCCCGGAAAATACCTATGGTCGGACGGTTGCATGTACGAGGGAGAGTGGAAAAAGGGAAAGGCTTCCGGCAATGGAAGGTTCTCGTGGCCGTCGGGGGCAACCTACGAGGGCGAGTTCGTTGACGGTCGGATGGACGGTTACGGAACACTCATTAGCGTCGACGGGAACACGTACCGTGGGTTGTGGGTTTCCGACAGGAAACACGGGTTCGGCAAGAAATGTTACGTTAATGGTGACGTGTATGAAGGGTCATGGAATTGCAACTTGCAGGAGGGTGAGGGGAGGTATATGTGGAAGAACGGGAACGAGTATGTTGGGGAGTGGAAGGGTGGTGCAATATCGGGGAAGGGGGTGATGACGTGGCAGAACGGCAACCGTTACGAAGGGTATTGGGAGAACGGGGTTCCGAATGGGGAAGGTGTTTTCACTTGGCGTGATGGGAGTCCCTGTTCTGAGGTTGATGAGGTTGATGGGGATGTTAAGAAACCTGGTCATACTGTATCCAAGGGACAGAAGAATTACGATTTGATGCTTAATCTTCAACTGGGTATCAGGTATCTTATCTACATTGCTAGTTTTGAACTTTTATATTCAGCTTGGCTTAGCGATAGCATAGCAGTATGCTTGTGGTTTTCTATGTTTTTTTTTATTTTTATTTTTAGGAACTTTTTGTTTTGTTTTTCTTTTAGATACTCTGTTGGGAAGCATGCTTCGATGCTGCGAGAGCTTAGGCCTGGAGATTTTGATCCAAAGGAGAAGTTCTGGACGACGTTCCCTTCGCCTCCTCATTCGTCAGTGAACTTCAGGTGGAAAGACTACTGTCCTGTGGTGTTCAGGTGTGAATATTTTCTATATAAATCTTCTTGAGTTGATTGATGTTTCTTGTTGTTGTTTTTAACCTTTTTTGATTTCTAAGCAAGGCAAAAGCTTGGCTGTGGATACTAATTATGTCTTTTGGTGGGTACTTAGACATTTAAGGGAATTATCTGCCATAGATCCCGAGGATTACATGCTTTCTATTTGCGGCAGTGACACACTTAGAGAGATGTCTTCCCCTGGCAAAAGCGGGAGCTTTTTTTACCTCACTCAGGACAACCGGTTTATTATCAAGACCTTGAAGAAGTCTGAAGTCAAGGTTAGTTTCTAGTCTCTACCTACTAGACTTGAAGATGCATTAAATTTGATGAGAAAACTATAAACCTATATTAAGGAAGGTAAAATCTCACTTTCGGATAATTTGATCACCATGCTTTTTCCCCTGGGTATTCAATAATTAGTTGGTGGCCATGTCAGGTGCTCATCAGGATGCTTCGAAGTTACTATCAACATGTTTCTCAGTACAAGAACTCCATGGTAACAAAATTCCTGGGCTTACATTGTGTCAAACCTATTGGAGGTCAGAAGGTATGATTTTTCAAATTTAAAATTTGCTATAAACTGATATACTACACGAATGCTTGTCACAATGTGATGAACGCTATGATATGAATAAACAGACTCGGTTTGTTGTAATGGACAATGTATTCTCTTCGGAGTATCGGATTCATAAGCGGTTTGACCTCAAAGGTTCTTCTCATAAGCGCACAACAGATAAACCGCAGGAGGAGATTGATGAGACTACCACTCTTAAAGACCTTGATCTTAGTTTTGTCTTTCGCCTGGAAAAGTCTCGGTTTCAAGAGCTTAAATGGTAAAGAATGTGCTGCCAAGTTGCATATTGCTTTTACTTTCAACATGTTTTGTGATGTTCTCAGAGTTGGTCTTTTGTAATGACTTATGCTCAGGCAAATTGATAGAGACTGTGAATTCCTGGAAGCCGAGGGGATAATGGATTACAGTTTTCTGATTGGCCTTCATTTTCGTGATGATTACTCACTTGATGAAATAAAAAGTTCACCAAATGAGTTGTGTTCAGGTATATGTCTTCTTACTTCCTAGTTCCATACTTCCATGTTTCCTTTTCTCATGTAAACTTAATGGATCCAAAAGAGATTAAAAATCTGTGGGAATATGGATTTGGCAGGCAAGAGAGTTATGCAAAACGATGAGATGCAGGATATGAAGCGGAAACCCATAGGCCGGTATGCCTTTTCTCTCTTTATCTTTGTTGTTTCAACGTGTAGAATTAATTGCTATGAAGTAACAAAAATGAACTGTTAAGATTGTCCTCCTCCATATTCATTTATATTCCTAAAAAGACAATGTTTGCAGATTTAGAAATCTTGACAAAGTTCTATTAATATCAGCTCAAGCTGTTATGTGAATTCTAACCCAGCATTCATTGTAGAAATCAAGTTAATTAAGGGAATTTGGATTCAACTTAACATAGACCATTCTTAGTTGCCGCATTTTATGACTAGATGATTTATAGGGAATTTAGCATTTTTGTTTCTATTGCTTGCACCCATTGGTAGCCACTGCATTCATTTTTTTGTATGTGCCCTGTGCTTGAGCTTTAGTCCGTCTGGACCCAGGCATATAACAAACAGAAGCAAAATGCTACGGTCTTAAACTATCAATATCACACTTGCACATGCAAGTAGCTAAGAGGATCTGGACCACAAGTCATGTAGAAACCAAGCAATGGCAGATGAATCAACATTATATTTTCCATTCTCCTGTCGATGTGATTTAGGGGTGGGTGATTTAGTTATCTGCTTTAATGAATATGATCCTGTTGGTTGAGATGTACCACAAATGACTGAAGTTTTCATGGAAAAATTTGAGGCAGTTTTGTTGACAGCAATTGCTGGTGGGGTCATTTGATATTTCTGAAAAGTGGAAAAACCTTCTTTGCAAAGCTATTTGTTAATTGACAGTGATATTGATGGAGCAGTAATTGTTACTAGGACTTGAAGATTTGTGCCAGTAACATAAAAATAGAAAATGTTTGATTTAAAAATAGATAAGTTTATGTTTTTCTTACTTTCTAAACTATAGTTACAGGATTTACTCTTTAAAGATATAATCTAGCCAAGAGAGAAAATTAATAATTACAGAATTACTTTACCAAGATTTAGGTATAAATTTTACTTTTCTTGTTTCTCTTGGGCCTTCTTCCTAATAGGTTAGTTTACATCCTAATTTTGTAAATATTTGATTTAAATTCTAATTTTATCCATAAATGTGGTGATCCTCGATATTTCTAGGGAACCTCGGCTGGGAACAAACATGCCTGCCAAAGCTGAGAGAGTATGTAAAGCTGGATTGGATCAGCACACAAGTACTGGAAGTAGCAATTCTACCCCTTCAGAGAGTAATGGTGAGATCTCGGATGTAATCCTCTACTTTGGTATCATTGACATTCTCCAAGATTATGATATTAGCAAAAAGCTAGAGCATGCATACAAGTCACTGCAAGTCGATTCAACCTCGATCTCAGCCGTTGATCCCAAGCTATACTCCAAAAGGTTTAGGGATTTCATTCACAGAATCTTTGTAGAGGGCAAATGAAATGCTCGGAGTATAGCTTGTACATGTAAAAACAAAAAAGCACAAACCGAGATGTAATGCATCATTAGGCATGTGATGAGATATTGTGGGGAGAGATTGTCACAATAGTTGTACATGTAATGCATCATAGGGCATGTGATAAGATATTCTTTTTTTTATTCACTTTTGTTATGATTGTGGAAAGATTGATTATGGGTAGTGGATAGAAGTGTATAGGGAATAGAAAAATGCAAAATGCATATGGAGGGATACAAATTTGACCGGGGTGGGGGTGAATAATTGTACAGAACAGTCAAAGATGGATAATGGAATTGAATGAACATAAATTTTTTGGATGGTTTGCCCTGTTAAGCAAGAAAGAAAAGTTCCCACAGAGGACCCCCACCTGTCTCGGTCTCTCTCTTTGGTGTGCATTCAAATTGGTGTTTTTACTTTTGCAGTGAGTAAAGCATAAAAAGAAGAGGAGGAATATTCTTACTACCAAAATTTTTTGCTATCAATTCACTACTTAGTTAATCATCATTGGTATATCGTTCCATCATGAACGTGTTCCGGTGATACATTTTCAAAAACGAACTATCAGGGTCAAAAAGGCCAAGAATCAAACAACGCCACAAAACAAGAAATTTGAGCACGTAATGTGAATCGGTTTGGTATCTGAGAGTGATTGCTATACATGCATGTTGTGCTGTGGTATTTTAATAATGAAGAATAGCGTGCCGGATATGAGAAGCCCCACAACTCTTGAATTTTCAAACACCTATAA